CAAAATTCTTTATCATGATTGAATTAGTCATAAGTAAATTAATCATTGTATGATTTAGTCATACCTCATGATTGAATTAATCATGACTAAATATATAATGATTAATTTACTCATGACTAATTCAATCGTGATTAAACTTCAATCAAAATTCTTTATCATGATTGAATTTGTTTGATTTTGGCCAACTCTGGTCAGGATGTATAGGGTCGTGTTTGAAATTATGTAGTTTAACTGGGCCTGAGGTACCCGTATAATTTTTCTCCATAAAAATGTAAAAATTTGCAACTGGACTAAAAAAATATTAAACACGTATGTTTTTTGATAGCGTCGTTGGTTCAAGAAAAATTCAGCCGGGCCAAAAATGATGTCATTTTGAGATTCAGTTCAACATACGACATATATGATATGAATAACTGTGAAAGTGATAAATCCATGGTTTGTTTTGTTTTACGCTGTCAAATGCTGTCAAATTTATTTATGAACAACAATTGACGCAGGTGTACATAAATAAAAAATAGAGAGAATAAAATTATCACCAAAAAACGTTTTAATAAATGGGGTCGATTTATTACCCTCACTATGATAAAAACTATTAAATTTCCATAACATTTCGAATTATAGCAAATTTAAAGATTGATTAATTAACAAAATATATATAAACCATGGAAGTAATCGAAATTATTAAACGTTTCTTTAAGACCTGCATAATCAAGATGTGCAAGATCATCGCACGTGGACGTGCACTATTGCATAAGCAATCATGAAACTATGTTTCATCGGGATTCAAAAGCATGGTGGGCAACTTTAAAGCAGTTGCGGCGATCGATTGAGCGCCACGGCTGAATGGGCGTATTACATTACAATCACTGCGAAGGAGCCAGGGTCGTCGAACAATTAACGTTTGATTAAGTTCAGGGTTCTTATCTGCAAGGGCGGGTTTACATTCGATACCAGAATCTTTGGATTTCGTTGTTTTGGAGACAAAACCGTTTCCGATTCGGTACGGATGATTAACAGAATTCTTACGAGTTTCCCAGGCGACTGAGTTTCATTAAAAACAGTTTAATAAATTTTAACCATGTGTTTGCTATTTCGTTCATATTTCGAATATTTTATTGAGTTTATGACATTAACCGCCTAAGGTGAGTTGAGACTTGAATTGAGACGAGAAGTCGCCTTGATGGGTATTTTGAATCAGCCTTAGACTAAATATAGTCTTTGAATTGATTTTCTAATTATTTCAACTATTAATATTTATGCTAATTAGATTTACAATTACATCTAATAATTAAGCTGAAGTGGAAAGAGTCCTTAAAAAAGGTACATGTATGGATGGGATCTTTTTAGAGAATTTGTGAACAACCTTCGCTTGCCAGGAGATGGGACAAGTACATGCATGTAAAATCTACTTTCTATCTACTATCCAAAGATAGTGTGGGGCGTGTGGGAGACGGCCTTTGGTGTGAGTCCAGACATGAAAAATCCTCCGTCTGATTCAACTCACCTGAATGAAGAAGGGACCCAACACCAACCCTTGAGAAAGCCCAGCTCTTATGTCCCTTAAGACAGAAACACACTTACCCGATGCNTTAGAGCTGCTCTTCATGAAACTTGGGGCTACTTTTCTCACAAATGTCTCTAATTATCTATATCCTCTTGTAACGATCTATCAAAGTTGTTTTTCTCTCATTTCATCATGTACTGTCATAACCATCTCATTTATTTTAATTCTTTCCAGAATTTTGGCCGTTCTGGAAAGGGCTTTAGAAACTTATGAACTGCGCATAATAGAATAAAATTGGTCTCAGTAAATAAATTAAAACCTGAGGTAAAACGGGTCTCTTTTAAACACGCAGAAACTAAACTTTAACACAGGCTAAAGCTTTCTTACGGTCGTAATAGCTTTGACTTTGGATAAAATCCAGTAAGACATAAAGCCATCCCGTGGGACATTAATTTCTTTACATGAGGAAAAATTATTCACCGTCTGAGCTGTAATGAAGCTAAGCTTTTAAGTCCGCCTTAACAGTGCTTTATTAGATGTAAGGAGGTGAAGCGTTTAACCCCCTTTTTTACATAAAACCACGTCTCCGTATTCGGGATACCAGATCGCCGTCGAAACTCCCCACTGGTTACAAGATGGGAGAAGTCCCCAGCTGGATATCGTTGCAGTCAGTATTAGTCCTAGACCTCGCGGTGGTGTGAGACTGCGAGCGCATTGGATGTGGCGGACCTAAAAGCGTAAAAATAAAAACGGTCCTAAATCATAAAAAATCCTTTAAAGCAGTGGAGTCAAGAGGAGGATACCTGGTTGGCATCCCGCGAATGCTCCTCACCTTCTCCCTTACAACGCTGAGGTCCTCAATCTCCATAGCCTGCGCCGATATACACAGAGAGCGCAGCTTTTTAACCACTAGCTTGGATGACGGTACACGAATGGATCTATGGCGAAAGAGAGTTGGGCCTGGTTACCTGCAATGGATGCGAAAAAGCATAAGTTTTTATAAACATTGTTTAATTATGATGGTTAGGAGTAACTTTATTTAAAACAATTAATTTAACAAACAATGTATTAGATGGTTGTGCATATCTCATAAAATTTAACTAACAATTTATTGCAAGGTTTTGCTCAAAATAGTGCATTAAGAACAAAAGATGCGTTGCGATTGTGATAGTGATTACTGTGATGAACGGTGTGGACTGTACGCGACGTGTGCTTGCGTCGGATAGATGTGCACACCCCACCAAAACGTGGCAAGGCGTCGGGTAGCATCGGGTAGCGTCGCATGGCGTAGCATCGGGTAAGTGTGTTCCTGGCTTTAGCGTTGACACCTGACATAGCTTGAAAGAAGGTTCATTCAGTTTTTAAAAGGTTGTAACATCGTTAAATTCGGATAAAGTTGTGAATTTTTACGATACGTAACCGGTACATCGGCGAGGGAAAATTACCCCAATTTAGGCCAAATTTTTTAATTTATTTTTTGTTGTTAAAAAAATCGTATTTAAGGGCTTTAAAGGGTGCTTATGACGAATCCTAATTGTTTTTTTTTAAACACATCACTTTGACATAGGTATTCACTAGTAGCGTCTCGGGCGGATTCGAACTACCTATTTAAATAACGTACTTGAGACCGCCGACCTTGCTAAATTAGCTAATATAAATTTAGCAAGAACCGACCATAAATCACTCCTGAATACAAACTTTTGGGAAAAATCAAAAATAAAATTTTTTCTCAAATTTTTCATCCTTCGAAATTGACAAAATAGAGATGTTGGAATTCTACAATGAATTGATGATTGTCAATTAAAAGCCTAAAGCTCAACCATCCCTCACAGTCGGTTGAAAAATATTCAAAAAATATATATATTTGAGGATCGGGGCTCGGGAGGTGGTAGGAAGGAATGGCCAATTGAATGGCAGGAAGTCATCAATCAAAAGGGTCGGTATATCACGGATTAATTATCGGCTATGTGCTAAGAATAGTCGGCCCGGTATTAACAATAAGCTTAAATTAGTTTAGGATTAACCAGCCTGTATAGTTCCTGTCACATCGATTATTACAATTAGGAATGGCTGAGTAATGGGGCGAAACGATTCCATTTCAAAGGCTTAAAGGTTGTTTTTTATGGGTGGGGGGTGGAGGTGGTGTAAAATATCAAATAATGGACGAATGTTAACGCAATGATATGGCAAAAATATTTTGAAAGGACTTAAAGTATACAATACGCACGATAAAAACAAACAATTAAACAGGATTAAATGTTTTTTTCTTCATTGTACGAGAGAAGACTAAGCCCTTTTTTGCTTTTATAAGCTTATTCAATTACACAGGATTAGTTGTTTTATTTTCATAGAGCGTTTGAGAAGATCTCTTGTTATTATAAAAATTCTAAATAATTAAAAAATATTGAATTGAAGAAAAAAATATGTTATATTAACTTTTCATAGCTTAATTTAACTATATGAAAAAATAGAAGCCCCAGGAGCTTTCATTCGTAATTAGAGCGCCATTCGCGTACGGCTTACTGTTTCGTTTCTTCAACCTCGTGGACTTTTTTTTTTTTTTTTTTTTTTTTTTTTAATATTAGTCCCTTCTGTGAATACTTAATAGGAAAAGAATCTCACGGGCACCTATAACTGACGAAGTACTATCCAACCTATGGAGGTCACCTAAAGCTAGGTAGTGGAGGTGAATAATAGTCCTCTTAACTTGCCTCTTACCTTGACATTACCTCACATACCCATCTCTACTCTAACACTAACTTAAACCGTACCTCACCCTATCTAACTTAATCTTACTCGCCCTATTTAACCTCACATTAACTTCTCTCATGCTAACCATTCGGAACATAACCTCACTTGACCTTAACCCTACCTACACCTGATCAACTGATTAACCTAACTTATCTGTAACTCTAACCTTTCCGAACCTAATGTAACTTGTCCTTTACATTAACTCTACTTAACCTAACTTACCTGTAACTCTAACCTTTCCGGACCTAACCTAACTCGTCCTTTACACTAACTCTACTTAACCTAACTTATCTGTAACTCTAACCTTTCCGAACCTAACCTAACTTGTCCTAACCCCTAACTCTACTTAACCTAACTTATCTGTAGCTCTATCCTTTTCGAACCTAACCTAACTTGTCCAAACCCCTAACCCTGATTAACCTAACTTATCTGTAACTCTAACCTTTCTGAACTTAACCTAACTTGTCCTAACCCCTAACCCTATTTAACCTAATTTATCTGTAGCTCTAACCCTTCGAATCTACCCTTTTTTAATAACTTATCTTTAGTTCTAACTGTTTCGGCGGCATGCCGAATGAAATATAATAAAATAAATGAATTAATCGAATAAGTAAAGGAAAGGAAAATAATACAAGACAAAAGTTACGTAAATTGTGAAAATAATAGGAAAGAATTGAACCGAAAATAAAATAAAGAAAGTATATATAAAACCTAATGAAAAAAAATTAACTTGCGAGGAACTGACCTTCTTGTTCCCGCTTCCCATTGCAAAGAACTGTGCCAGTCATGACAGTAGCAGCTAAATTTGCTCTTATTCAAGACCATACCTTGATCCAGAGTGTTCATAATTGTTCAAATTGCCCACTCGTCGACCAGACCGTTCGTCGTATATGAAAAATGCTGATGTGGCCCTCGATTACAGCAGCGATTCCGGCCCGGAATTTTCCACTCCTTTCCTTCGCATTTCGAATGATTTTTGACACAGCGAGGAAACTGAGAGATTTATAATAAATGATCCCGATCTTATGAACTCTGACCAATCATTTATGAAAAATTATAACTCCTTTTTTCTAAACGAGAATTTTAAGAAAGTGAAACCTTTCACTGTGGATGAATTAAACCCGACCTGGTTAAATAATTGCCTTGAGGAGATCGCACTTAAATCATTTCTCCGATATTCTGGATGACAAGGCCCTTCATACATATTTATGACCTATTGAGGAAGGGCGGCGATTCTGCCGTTCTGCTTATATCCAGTACATCGGCCCCACCTCCTGATTGGAAGGACGAAATTCAAACCCTTTCCCCGTTGTATTATGTAAATGGTAAATTAATTTTCATAAGTAGCCGCGTAAAAATTTTCACCCCGATCGGTCATAAACATCGCGTATTTTCGTCTTGGCCTTCTCGATTCCATTTGTTAAATGTTAACGCAAAGTTCGTCGTTAATTCGCTCTTTGTGCCAAATGAGTTCCGCCCGCGCTAGCTTCACGTCGCGTCGTCCAGCTGGAACAAACAATATCAAACCCAAGAAAAGTCTCCTTACAACTCAACCTTGACATCATCTTTTCATAAATCAAACATTACTTCTTGTTCTTATTTCACTGTTTTGAGCAATAATAAAAACGAGAAATTTGTGGAATGTAAAACAAATTCTTACGGACCATAAAAACCAATTTTGTAGATCTCATCTATTCCCGTTCTTTCGGTCAGTAATAAGCGTTTCTGCTCATCGTCACCTTCAGTGACGGGTTTTAACTAAAATAATCATTGAAAATTAAAGATGGTGAAACGAAGAAACGCGCCTTTATGGGTCAGAAATTGCAGAGTCTACGGTGGGAATCAAACCCATGACCGCGAGACCTTTTAGGCGAGAGTCTGACGACTAACCACTCGGCACTAAAGCAGTCTCCCCTCCCCCAGTCCTTAGTGTAACGGATAAGTTAGGTTAAGTTGAGTGGGGTTTGAGTTAGAGACATGCTAGGATAGGTTAAGTAGGGTTAGTGTAGGAGGCAAGTTAGGTTAGGTGATGTTTGGTATTGTTACGGTTAGGGACAAGTCAGACAAGGCTAGATAGAATTATGCATAGTGTATTAACATTCAATTAATTAAGGTTTTTTAAGTTGAGATAAAAAAGTCAGTGCACGAGCGGGATTCGAACCCACGACCTTCGGCTTGATACGCCGCTACTCTACCACTTGAGCTATCGTGACTTCGATCCCCTCGGGCACTAACTTCCCATCTCAACCCCACCTTTTGAATTTTCCCTCCTTTTTGCCATTTTAATTAATTGAATGTTATTAATTGATCAAGCGGACAACGAAAAATAGTGAATTTAATTGATTAAAATGAAGTACACTTCACTAAAGCTCTCCGTGGCCATCTCATTTGTCGCCGAGAATCCAATCCGATTACACGACATTTGAAAAATGGCAAAAAGGAGGGAAAATTCAAAAGGTGGGGTTGAGATGGGAAGTTGGTACCCGAGGGGATAGAATTCACGATAGCTCAAGTGGTAGAGCAGCGGCGTATCAAGCCGACTTAATTAATTGAATGTTATTAATTGGTCAAGCGGACCACGAAAAATAGTGAATAGTGTATTAAGTTGGTTATAGTTTAAGGTATTGTTAGGGACAGGTTAGATAATGTTGGGTAAGGTTAGGTTTAGAGATATGTTAGGATAGGAGAAACATTAAAGATTTATTTGTCAGATACGGCACAGATGTAGTGATTTGTTTGGTCCATCTTCATTTTTCTGATAAGACCTACGTTCCATTTTTCTTGTTTTACTTTTCAACCTCTTTTGTTTTGGTTACTTTTTATTATTTCGTTCGTTCGTCTGTCATATTTACGTTTACTGGGCTCTTTTCATTCCTTGCGCTGTAAAAATTTGTGAGATTTTGGTCTGAGGTAAGGTTCTTGAACCAATGGGATCACAGGGGTACTTTTTATTATTTTTCACCCTCCATCCTTCATTATTGGCTTCTGAGAACCTTAATAATGCTAATAAATTACGTTGTCATTTTCGTTAAGAATCAATAGGCTAAATGTCCCATATCTCTCCATTTCTAAAGGTATTAGAATTTTTTCCTTTTTCCATACAATTGGCTTCCAATGTGCGGTACTTTTTGTCCACTGATTTTCGTCCTTGTACCATTTTTGTTTTTAAGACAACTTAGCAAACAGTTCTTTTTCTAATGACTTTTTAGATCTTCTAGCAATTTTCTGATCTTTCAGCTTACTCTTTTCAATAGTGTGTGGGTGTAGGTGTAGGTATTTTATTAAAATTAAACGGGAGCTTTAAAAATATTCTGTTTAAATATTGATACACCCATGAGACACGATCTCCGTCCTACCAAATTCATATCCACGAAACCCGGAGGCACGATCAGATTGCATATCTGATTTCTGATCACAACAGGGAAAACAAATATGGAGCCCTAAGGCATATGAGACGGATCTGACGTTATATGTAGAAATATAGGACGAACAATGGATAACCGGATTCCTTCGGGAATTTGTTTTATTTATATTTATATTTCTGAGTACCTTATAGTCAAGTTTGCACTTTTTTCCCCAATAAAGTCCCACGGATTGATAGCCGGTGTTAAGGATTTTATTCCCCTTCGATAGTAACACCCTTGACGTCTGACATAAAACGGGCAGGTTCTGGCCCGTTTCCCAACATAAGTTTATGAAAATCTGACATCTTCTTTACCGACCGTTCCTGAATATTTACGACTCCACGTCATTACGAAACAGGGCGTATTTACTAACCCTGGTTCCGTGTTCATTGAGTGTCTATTTTACCCTTTCATCCATTTTCATTCTATCAGACAGGACAAGACAATAAATAAATGAAATAATAATGATTGCACACGGACGATTTGGCCCCTTTTTCACTCACAAGGGAGGATTCGCCTTGAAAGACGAGCGACGTATAACAACAAAGTCTTAACTAATTCTTTTCTCAGTCTCTTCTATTCTTTTATTAACAACAGGGTTGGAACAGTTTCGTCACCCTTTGTTCTGTAGTATATTAAAAGGAAAATGAAACCCCCCTTTCATGTACGACTTGTTGCTTTTATTTGAAATGAGGAATCGTGGGAAGAAGAACGATTCCCAAGGCACGGTTTCGTCAAATAATATATTTCAATTATAATTAATTAAAAGGAAAAAAAACTTTGACAAGAATTTCCAGGCTTTTCGATGATTTCTTAGAACAAGGAAATTTCATATCATTCAGGATCCTAGATAAAAATCCTTCTATACTTTGGATTTTTCTTTAAACCTTTGCGCACAGCGACCAATATTGGTCTAGTGTGCAGCCTCGACCTTATTATCTAGAGCTCTATAGAAGCTTGTATAGGCCTTCTTCGGGGTAGTTACAGCTCTTCCGGGTTTTACATATACCTCTAGAGTCTGCAATGTCAAGGCTTAGTTCGATCATTAATGCGACGATCCTTTGATGAAACTGTTCAACCTATGACCTGGAATATATCCCACTGAACTGAGGCCTTTCTGAACCTATAGATTGAACGAAGATGTCCCCATCGAATTTTCCTTGACGAATAGTCCTTATAGACCTCCCCCTGTACGCTCTGGTACCCAAACAAATCTTACGTACAACAACCCTGTCATTCATTAGGAATAACAATAAAAATAACCTTGTTTCGGTTTCAGAGCGTACAAGGCGGAGGTACAACGAGGAGGTCGATAAATTCGCCCCCCTAAATAAAAAAAGTTCGATGGGGACACCTGTCGGCCAAAACCGTAGATCTATAGGTTGATAGGAGTGTGATTCAATCCCAAACGCGTCAGGACTTTACAACAAATGAGGTAGTTCCCTTCACACTAGTTAGCCATTTTTTTTGTTGATAATGCCCTGGTGTTTTTGTTCCCTGCTTCTGTGTTCGACAACCAAAGTCTCCATGTGAGAGATAGTGGCATATTGCCCAAGCATGAATGCTAGTATTTCATACGCAATCTTGACCATACTAGGTCTTAGAACCATCTGTATACCGGATGTAGCCGGAATACTTGGATATTTTTCCTGTCTGTTTATCTGGTTAATTTGAAATTTCTTATCAAATGTGTGGTGATTAGTGACCGTTAATCGATAATTATTCAGAAATCGTGAGATGCGGTCTGGTGTGATGTAGGTTTCAGAAAATCATTTTCTTTATCGTGCCAACGTTTCGATCTTCATTGAGATCATCTTCAGGGCCTGGTATGATATATGTATGTTATCGATATTGAATTTGACATATATCATCACATCACACAAAACGTATAGTATAACATATAAAACATTCATCACATTCCAAGCATTAAACATTTTTACGTAGGTTAATTTTTCAACAGTTTAGCTTTCCTTTTCCTATTTATCAGGATAATCAGGCCGAACCATTACCAACGTTTTTTCCCTTCGTCGGCTCTTTTCACCTCAAACAAACCGACTCCTTGTACAAAAATGTCTTTCTATACCGACTTCCTTCCCCACCCCTTCAAAATCCAACGTATATAAACATAAAACACCAAAATCTCACTGGCACTCTCAACACGACACGCAAGAATGGCACATTTACACAGTAGACAAACACTTTGAGTGAATATATAAAAAAATATATATTTTGCATTGTATAAATTCACTTTTCCACATCCAAAATGTAATTGTTATATGCAAACAATGTTTGTAAATCCCAGCCCCTGAAGATGATCTCAATAAAGATCGAAACGTTGGCACGATAAAGAAAATGTTTTTCTGAAACCTAGATCACACCAGACCGCATCTCACGATTTCTGAATAATTTTCTTATCAAATATGAATTTTAGTATATGCCTCTGATAAGTCAGCAGTCATACTA